AAAAAAAAAAAAAAAATGATCTTGGAGATTGTGTAATGCTTACTCTAAAACTATTTGTTTATACAGTAGTAATATTCTTTGTTTCTCTCTTCATTTTCGGATTCCTATCTAATGACCCGGGACGTAATCCGGGACGTGAAGAATAAAACAAATGATTTTTTTCCTTGCTTGATTTTGAAATGTTCTAAAAATTTTATCTATTCCACATCTTTCCTAAACTATAAAAAAATACCAAGTAATTGACAGAAACGGAAAGAGAGGGATTCGAACCCTCGGTACAAAAAACTCGTACAACGGATTAGCAATCCGACGCTTTAGTCCACTCAGCCATCTCTCCCCAAATTGAAAAAGGATAATTACTATGATACATAGTATAAAAAATAGAAAATGAAGGCTTGAAAAAAGCCCTTCTTTATCTCTCTTGATTATCTTTATCTACCCTTTAATTATATGGATATATAATTATATCGATATATATAATTATCTAGATATATCGATGGATATCGATAAAATCGATAAATACTTTTATGAGCAATTCCATTTAGATAAATTAGATAAAGTAAGGGCTCAAAAGAAGAGATATCTCCAATCCTAATATATAAATATTACCAATATATTAAAGATTGCTAAAAATATATATTTCTAAATAAAAAAAAATATAGTACCTCTTTTATTTTATTTCATCCCAAAAGTCCTTGTCATTTTATTTCCACGGCCTGGCCTGGTCAGTACCTAGCCGGGCTTTTTTTGTTCCAATGAATCGTAGATAAAATTATTTATTTTATTTGAAAACACAAAATGTTTTTGAAACAAAAAAAATCGAAACAACAAGAATCATAAGAAGATTTATTATTTGATTCCTATGATACAGAAAAAGATGATATAGAATCAAGGTGCCATTCCTTACTATTATTCTTTATTTTAGTACTTTACTAGAATAGAATTAAAAAACTTGTTAATTTTTTAATTAAAATGAGTCCGTCTGCATGGTGCAGATGTGTGACACCTGAGTGAAGGAGAGATATGGTGTATTCAGATTTCGAATTTTGGTCATGTCTCTCATAATCGCATTTTTCTTGGTAGCGGACTTTGCGATTGTTCGACACTCACTCCCACTGAGTCAGTCAAGCCAATTCAAATTCGCGTCGCCTACAATCGAGCAACGTATTCAGAAAACACGTCTAGATAGTACAAGCAAGAAAGACAACATAGAGGCTTAGATAGTATATAACTTCGGGTAAGAAAATTTGACGATTAGTCGCATCACTATAGTACATTTTATGGCGATTCAAGTTTGACAGACCTAAATGTGATTTCGCCGAACAATCATACAAAATTAATGTAGGAGAGTTACAACTAGTCGCATGCATCTGTTATTTTGAGGCAATTCAAATATGACAGACTTAAACATGATTTTGCTCAATAGTAATACAATTTGGCAGTGACATGAGCATGCGACCATAGACAACACGTCTTAATTGCTTAACTATGTTCATGTTTGTAGTCTTTATAGGTGAGGTCGGGTTGAATCTTGTAAGCAATTGAGGTTGAATCTCGCATGTGTACACACATTTAAATAACAAAAAACACAAACTCCCACTTCGAACTTGTCCAGAATGTTGCCTATATTCATTATGGATTCATGATATTGTAGTTTGTGTGACCATACCCTACACACTCCTTGTCCTCATCACCACGTCCAGTGAATATCCCATCGCATTTTCTGATTCCCTCCCTCTCCTTTTCCAAACTTCAACTCCAAAAACTTGTCTCAGTGAGGTTAATAACTTGGATACACATGACACATACCTTACTCTGTTCATCATCTGCAATACCTTCCCTCTTCTTCAATGGTATCATCCACCATCTCCTTCCCTTGTACCCACTTATGTTTGTTTCCTGAGAAAATCCTTTCTGGGTCATTGAGATGAAGCCAAAAATGTCTCGTTCCCCTGTTTCTTCAAGTGTTTGATTAGTTTCATATGCTGATTGTTTGGTAACTTTAAGGTTTTTGGGTGTTCCAGAGAGGAAGCAGGGATGGCGCCAAAAGCTGATATGTTCTTCTTCAACACAACATGTGTGTGCTGCATCATCGCTTTTCAAATCTCGAAGCAAAAGTGGGGTTAGAAAGTTGAGAACAGCAGGAAGTTGTGGCGGATCTGCAGAGATATGTGAAGGTCAACCGGCGCCATGGCTTTCCACATGGCCAACCAAACAGGTTAGAATTGAATTTAGAAGGCTTCCACGCCACTACACGCTTCTTAATGAATGAAAAAGCAGGGCCCTTTAAGTAAGGTCAAATGCACCAATTTTGCATATGCCTAATTCTTTGGAAATAAGTTTATAAAAACTCTCCCTTTCTCTCTCCCTTTCTCTCTCCCTTTCTCTCCAAATCCCCGCTTTTCTGTTATGGAACCAACTCGTTCTTCTCTACAACTCAATCCCCTTATTGTTTCTCTCTAATCGCTGCACATTTCCAATGCCCAGATCCTTGCTTTGCCCGACCCTTTTTGGTTCATGTCCGTCTACGACCTCCCACTGCGCTCCACTTAACAAAACCCACCATTTCTTCGTTGAAATTGCAGCTTTTTGATCAACACCCACCTCCCAAAATGAAGGGTATGAGTCGTTTCTTCACGATCGGCCTCGTTGCCGCCTGGTACTCTTCCAACATTGGGGTTCTCTTGCTCAACAAGTATTTGCTCACCAACTATGGTTTTAAGTACCCGATCTTCCTCACCATGTGCCACATGACCGCTTGTTCTTTGTTCAGCTACATTGCAATTGCTTGGTTTAAGGTGGTTCCTTTGCAGACCATTCGATCTCGCGTCCAATTCTTTAAGATCTCTGCTCTTAGCTTTATCTTCTGCATCTCCGTTGTGTTTGGCAACATTTCGCTTCGGTATTTGCCTGTCTCTTTCAACCAGGCTATTGGAGCGACGACGCCATTTTTCACGGCGGTTTTTGCTTATCTGATGACCTTGAAGAGGGAGGCTTGGCTTACTTATGTTACTCTCATTCCTGTCGTCACCGGAGTTGTCATTGCGAGCGGGGTATGTACTCTTCTTTTGTTTATTGCTTTGGCTGCCTAATTTGTTATCCCTCATTCAATATTTCTTGTAGGAATACTCCAAATTCTGTGCTTCTTTATGAGAAATTTAATGCGGTTATCTTCGTTTAAGTTGAAAATGTTTGTTTCAACGCTGAAACAGTTCCTCAGCTCCTGTTTGTTGTGTTTTGTTTATTGTGTTCTATGGATAATACCGACATGGGAGCCAACATCTACTGTTTGAGCATGGGGATTTAGGATTTCATATATTTGGACTTTGTTACATAGCTCAACTACACAGCTAGCCGATATCGTTCTTTGTAGGCCTTCTCGCTTCCCCTCAAGGTTTTAAAACACGTCTACTACAGAGAGTTTCCACACTTTTGTAAGGAATACTTTGTTCCCTCTCCTCTCCAACCTGTGGGGCCGCATCCTCGTTGGCACACCACCCCGTGTTTGGCTCTCCAACCAATGTGGGATCTTGCAATCCAACCCTTGGGGGCCCAGCGTCCTTGCTGGCACAACGCCCGGTGTCTGGCTCTGAGACCATTTATAACAGTTCAAGCTCACCGCTAGAAAATATTGTGAGATCCCACATCGGTTGGAGTGGGGAACGAAGAATTCCTTATAAGGGTGTGGAAACCTCTCTTTAACATACGCGTTTTAAAAACTTTGAGGGGAACCCCGAAAGGGAAAGCCCAAAGAGGACAATATCTACTAGCGATGGGTCTTCCCTTCAAGAACTTTCCCTCAAGGTTTTAAAATGCGTCTAGGAGAGGTTTCCTAACCCTTATATGAAATGCTTCGTTTTCCTTTCCAAGGGATCTATAAGTTCAATTAAGCTTTCTATATGTGTTAGTCGTGCAAGCTTTTCGAGTCGTTCTCTAGTTTTGCGTATTGAAGGGTAGATATAATCGGTGGATTTCACCATGTTTGTGCTGTGGCTTATGTCTGTGTTTGCACTTCTTTACTTACTCTAACAGTGTTGCTGTCTCATGTCTTGTATGAAAATAAAGTGGCCATAGAATTTGCCTCTCAAGTTTTCTTTCATGGAACAGAGCGAACCAAGTTTCCATCTATTTGGGTTTCTAATATGTGTCGCTGCTACCGCTGCAAGAGCTCTCAAATCAGTACTTCAAGGCATCTTGCTTTCTGCAGAAGGGTAATGCCTTCTATCTTATATCACTGTAGTTTATGTTTAAACAATGAAATTTCAAGCATCTAATGGTCTCAAACGGGCTCATACAGAGAGAAGCTGAATTCCATGAATCTCCTTTTATATATGGCTCCTATGGCTGTTGTTTTCTTGCTGCCTGCAACACTTTTTATGGAAGATAATGTGGTTGGTATCACAATAGCTCTTGCTAGAGATGATGTCAAGATCATCTGGTACCTTCTTTTCAATTCGTCGCTAGCATATTTCGTAAATTTGACCAATTTTCTGGTCACGAAACACACCAGCGCGCTGACCCTTCAGGTATATTTTCATTCTTTGTTGTATACTCATGCATGTTACTAGTTCCAGTGCTCAACTTTATGTGTTCTTGGCTGATTGAGATCCTAATGTATGAACTCATAGGTTGTGATGAATTTAATTATTTGGTAGATTTGTAGTACTTTCTATTATGTCTGGTGGGCTCTCTGCCTAACATGTGAACCACTTGTTATAGAGGAGCCAGAAATATGGTATATTCAAGTTTCTTTTGTTCTTTAGTTGGTTGTTTCGTTTGTATTTGGGCAAGTCTCTTAGCTGTGGCATGTCCCAAACGGCTTTCTATGAATTGTTCTTGATAGATCTAGCAGCCAGCTAATGAGATGTTTTACATCCAATGAAGTGGGAATGGATTTCGACTCGTAGTTGATCTTTTAGTGTAATAGCCCAACTCCACCGCTAGCAGATATTGTCCGATTTGCCTTGTTACGTATCGCCGTCAACCTCACGATTTTAAAACGTGTATGTTAGGGAGAGGTTTCCACACTGTTATAAAGAATCCTTCGTTCTCTTCTCCAAGGAATGTGGGATCTCACAGTCCATCCCTCTTGGGGACCCAACGTCTTTGCTGGCACACCACTGTGGGATCTCACAATCCAACTGAATGGTGTGCCAGCAACGACGTTGGGCCTCCAAGAGGGATGGATTGTGAGATGTCACATTAGTTAGAGAGGGGAAGGAAACATTCTTGATAAGGGTATGGAAATCTCTCCCTAGCAGACGCGTTTTAAAACTAACAGCGATAAGTAACGAGCCAAAGTGGACGATATCTCCTAGCGGTGAGCTTTGGGTGTCACAAGATATGTTGAATATCGAAGGCTATGTGTTTGGTTGCAGCATTTCTATTAATACCCAAGTCGTATCAATGTCAAGTGTTGGAGGCAGTCAAAGGTTGTAAGAAATGTGGTTTGTTTTGTGTGTGTTCCAGGTACTAGGAAATGCAAAAGGGGCAGTAGCTGTAGTTGTTTCAATCTTGATCTTTAGAAATCCTGTGTCTGTTACTGGAATGTTTGGTTATACGCTCACAGTTATGGGAGTCATTCTCTACAGCGAAGCAAAGAAACGAGCGAATAAGAGTTGACACACCCAAACCTCAATCAATGGCGCCGCCAAGTAGTAGTGGCTAAATTTTTGGTCTTGTTTTGATCTTTTCTCTGCATGTTTTTTTGTTTTTTTGTCTCAGAAGCATAGGAAACCGGCTTGTGTAACTCAGCTTAGGAATAGAAAGTTGAATAAATGACCCAACATCACTGTTGTAACTCAGCTTGATTCTTTCATGATCGGAAGAACGCATTGTATAAGTGGGTGGCTACACACTCTTATTGCTGTTAACATTTGTTATATACTTCATTAATGACAACCATTCATATCTCTCTCGCTCTCTCTGCCAACCCTTTCTTAGTTGTCCGTTTTAGCCTGTTACATATAGCCGTTGGCCTTACGGTTTTAAAATGCATCTACTAGAGATTTGATTTTCTCACCTTTGTAAGTAATGTTTCATTGTCCTTTTAATCGACGTGGGATCTCAAATTCCACCTCCCTTGAGGAACAACGTCTTCGTTGGCACATCGCCCGGTGTTTGGCTCTGATACCATTTATAACAACCCAAGCCCACCCCTAGCAGATTTAAGGTTTCCACCCCGTTCTAAGGAATGTTTCGTTTTTAGGCTTTCGTTCAAGGTTTTAGAACACGTCTACTAGAGAGAAATTTCCACTCTTGTAAAGAATGTTTCGTTCTCATTGTGATCCTACATCGGTTAGAAAGGAGAATGAAGTAGTAGATGCATTTTAAAATAAAACCGTGAGACTAATGCGATACGTAACAAGTTGAAACAGACAATATATGCTAGCTATGAACTTAGGCTGTTACTCGGTATGCACTAGTGGATTTCTTTACATAGGGATGTTCTTTTTTTATAGAACTATGGTCTTCCTAAGGTGAAGAAAGGGTCAGAGCAAGATCAAAAGAAAACACAACGCATAATGATCAAACATGCAAATATGCAAGTCCTGCAAATCTTATACAAGGTTTGCACCTCAAATATGGATCAAATGCAACAATTTGCTCAAATAAACACACGAGCCGAAACAATGGTAAATACATAAAAAAAATAAATAAAAAAAAAATCTTTTCCTTTTCCTTTTTTCCCATCTCGAAACCAGAAAATTTAAAGTTAAAACAGAGAGTTAGGTCCGAGATGATGATATGAGAATTCGAACTTTCAAGCTTCAGGAACCGAGGCAGCATTACGCTTCATGGATGCACACTTGATCAAGTGGTTGTAGCTTCCCTTTTCCTTGAAAAGCTGAGAAAAGTGATGCTTGCAATACAGAATACCCTCTAAGGCTGCATAATTTGATGGGGAAAGAGCACACCCTCCATGAGAGCACTTAAAACACGACTTATGATAGCACTGATTCTCCACTGTTACCTGCAAGTATTGTGAGTACTAAGTGCTCTTTTGTTCATAATAAATGGTTTGTGAGCTTCTCACCAAGTGCTTACCTTCTCCAGTGGATAAACAGTTTTACCACAAGTAGCACATTTGTCTTGAGTACCAGAAAACATGCCAGCAGCTTTGCTAGGTGACCTTGTCTGAAACCAGTGAAGTGGTCACAAGAATCAGCATAATTTTATCTTATCAAGAACAAATTACAAGTGATTACCACAGGAAATTACCAGCTCTGGAGTCTTCTCAGCTGACTTTGCAGCTGTTGGAAATAAAACTCAAGAACCATTAAACATGTGAAACCAAAACTTTTGGGAAGTGAAACATAAAAGTTAAGTGAAAGAAGATAAAGAACATACGTGATTGGAAGTTCTTGTTGAAGTTGCCTGTCTCTTTGAAGAGCTGCTCAAAATGAGGCTTACAATATAGAACACCTTCCATTGAACAATAATTGCTCAGCTGAAGGAAAACAGAGAACAAGGTTAAAATACAGTAGGTAAAGTTCCACTTTTCAAAACATAAAAAATTTTGCTTAGCTACGGTCCAAGTCCACTGCTAGTAGATATTGCTCTTTGCAGTTTCCCTTTCGGGCTTCCCCTTGAAGCTACTAGGAGAGAGGTTTCCACACTCTTATGTTTTGTTCTCCAACTGATGCGAGATCTTACAATCCACCCCCCTTCAGGGCTCAGCACCCTCACTAGCACTCGTTCCCTTCTCCGATCGATGTAGGACCCCTCAATCCACCCCCCTTCAAGACCCATCATCCTTACTGGTATCCACTCCCTTTCGAAGCTCAACCTCTTCACTGGCACATCGCCCGTTATCTAGCTCTAATACCACTTGTAACAGGCCAAGCTCACCGCTATCTATAGACTTTCCCTTTCGGGTTTCCCATTTTTAAAATGGTCTATAGAGAGAGGTTTCCACACCCTTCTAAAGAATGTTCGTTCTCCTCACCAACCAACAACCGATGTGGGATCTCACAACTAAACACCATGCACCGAATTCTAACCATACTTTGGAACCCTTGATCTAGTTTGTGTTTACTTGTGATAGACATCATCAGATGGAAAACTTCAAAAGAACATATACACAACAGCTGTTGAGTTTCAACTGAAGCTGTTGAGCTTAGTTCTCAATTATTGACATGCATCAGAGCTTATGAAATACATATAAAGGAACAAATATATCCTAACCCTTTGGTTTGTAGGCGCATTAGCAATGTTAAGGATCAGAATCCAGCTCAAAGAACACAGAGTAATACCTTTAGAGTTCCTTTGCAATGGCTGCATTTGAAGCAAGACTTATGGTAGGAAACTCCATCAGCAGAGAGCTGCTCCACAGGATAGACAGTCTTCTCACAGGCCTTGCACTTTTGTTGTGTTCCAGTGAAAGACATAGCTAAGCCCTCGGAGTTAGATTAGATCTGAATCTTCTTCACCCAATCAAGATCACAAACAATCCACAACTCTCACAGCTAACGTCCCTTCTTCTCTGTTTCGTTAGATCAAAATCATAACTACGCTAATCGGAAAGAATACAGATACTCCACAATAGATTATAAAAATGTAACGAACAAACATAAATCCAATGCCAGTAAACCCAGAAACACGACCGCTCAAGAACCAAAAAAGGCAACAAAGATCTTAAAAGTATATATTGATCATGATCTAGGAGTTGGGAGATGGAAAATGCGAACGAAATTGAGTTAAAATCACATACCTGAGATCAGAGATTGAAAAGCCGGTGGATCTGCAGAGGACCCAGAAGCGAAATCGTCAAGAGATATTCGAGAGGGAAGAAGGGACGAGGGGGAGAGGGATTGGATTGGATTGGAGCCCTTTTGGGGAAGCGTAGTGGAAGTTTTGTGTTCGAATTTGGGGTAAAGAATTGATCCAAAAGGGAATGAAAAAAAAAAATGAAAGGAAGATTTATTGTTTAATGAATCTGATTACAACGCATTTACAAATAATAATTAAAAGGAAAAAGAAAAGAAGGATGAGGTTGGCAGGAATTGTGTCCCACCATTAATTTGGCTCGTTTCAACGATTGAGTTGGCTTTTAAAACGCGCTTCCTCTAGGCGCCATTGCCATGGATGTTGCCCGTAACCCCACAAAAACAGGCGCCTCTGCGATGGATGTTGCCCGTAACTCCTCAAAAACGGGCGCCTTTGCCATGGACGTTGCCTGTAACTCCTCAAAAATAGGCGCCTTCCCCATGGCTTGTTGGCCGAGGCCCGTAACTTCAAAAAAAGTCAACCGTTGACCCTAACGAACTGGACCCCATCCATCCACATCTTACATGATACGTTCTAAGAAAAGAAAAAAAAAATAATGGATTGTGTTCTTCCTTCCTTAATTTTCCTTCTTTTTTTTTATAATTATTTTAATTATTTTAATTATTTTAATTATTTTCCCAGCTCTGAATCAGACATGTCTACCATACAAAGAAAATGGAAAATACTTATGTTTAGATGACATAATTGTTCTGTATGTTTGAATTTATTGAGCTTTCATTGTATTTTTCGGTTTTGGTATAATATTTATAAGGTTGTAAATTACAACTCAGTAAATAGTCATTATGGTATTTATTATTCTTGGTCTCGACCAACAAGCTAATTAAGAAGAAGATTACGTGTTTATAAATAAAGAAACATTTCCATTAGAACGAGACCTTTTAGACCATCAACTCCGCGATGAATGAATCTGTCTGTGTGTGCTTTGAACCATGGAAGCTCCCATTTTTGCACGAAAAATATGTAAAACATGGGAAGTTTCTCATTTTGGTGTGTTAAAAGAGAGACAGAGACTTGGGACTTATATTAAAAACAACAAGAAAAAGTTGGGATTTGGCTTTCCAATGGAGAAGCTTAAAAAGAAAGTAATGTAAAAGATTATAGAGGTTGAGCTGTTCTCACAAGTTCTTTCTTTTTTTCTCGAACGTTCGCATTCATTCCAAGTATCGATCCCTTATAGATTGAGGATCCATGTTCAGTCGACTTTTTGTCCCTAACAAGTGGTATTACGAACCTTGCTTCAAACCAAAGTCATGTTCGTCTACTATACTCATAGCAAAACGAATGACCTGTTACATATCGTCTTTCATCCCACGCTTCTAGAACCTCCTAAGATAATCCTTAGTTTTTGTAAAGTATTTAGACAAAAGGGTGGCTGCCTAGAATGTGACAGAGAGAGGGAGCAGCTGGGATGTAAGTTTCAACGCAACATAAAATATGGTAAGCGTGTACAAAGCGTAACACATAAAAGAACAATTTCTAACTAAAATGGTGTGCCATTATCATTGTGTAACATGGAAGAAAAGTCGTGTTACCACCACTAGCAGATATTGTTCGTTCTGTTACATATTGTTGTCAACCTTCTGCTTTGGCTCGTTACGTATCGCTGTTAGTTTTACGGTTTTAAAACGCGTATGTTAGAAAGAGGTTTCCACCTTCGTTCCCCTCTCCAACCTATTTGGAATCTCACAACTACCTCCTTGGGGCCAGCATCCTCGCTGGCATACTGCTTGATGCTTGGCTCTGATACCATTTGTAACCGTCCAAGGTCACTGATAGCAGATCGCCGTCGACCTCACGGTCTTAAAGCGCGTCTGTTAGGGAGACGTCTTCACACCCTTATAAGGAATACTTCGTTCTCCTCTCCAACCGACATGAGATCTCACAAAACCAAACCTGGTTGGATTATTTGTTTCACCTAACGTTTTAAAAAGATAAGACAGCAATGTTTCTTCTTGCTCTATAAAATTCTTTCAACCCCATTGATCAAGAGCCACTCTAGACTGCAAAGATAAACATGATGAGGTACATTTTGATTACTCTTTTGGTAGCCTTCTTGGCAGGTGCTGCTGTGGTTGAATCTCTTGTTCGTCATTACAGTTTCTTAGTAAGTTTAATTCTTGTGAAGATGGGTTTGTCGGCTAAAACATTATCAGAAGATTATACTCATCAAATTCTGTGCAGGTTGTGTTGAAGAATGAAACGAAGATCTGTGGGAGCAAGTTTATTATGACTGTTAATGGGAAGTTTCCAGGACCAACTCTGTATGCTAGAGAGGATGACACTGTGATTGTTCGAGTCACCAACCGAGCTAACCATAATCTCACTATCCACTGGTCTGAACTACCAACTAATAATAAGATTATTCTTCGAATCCAAGATGAAATAACGCCAAGATTTTGTTCGATATTGATAGGCATGGGGTTCGACAGCTCCGAAGCGGGTGGGCTGATGGACCAGCATATATCACACAGTGCCCAATTCAACCGGGTCAGAACTACGTCTATAATTTCACCCTCCACGCCCAAAGAGGCACCCTTTTTTGGCATGCTCATATCTCTTGGATTAGAGCCACGGTTCATGGCGCCATTGTCATCTTACCCAAGCTTGGCGTTCCTTATCCTTTTACCAATCCTGATAAAGAGAAAATCATCATTTTAGGTAAGCAAAATATCGTTCAAAATCATTCATTTGTTCATGCTCGTAACTGTCCAAGCCCACCGTTAAGTAGATATTATCCGCTCACTCTGCAGGTGAATGGTGGAAGGGCGATGTGGAGGATATGGTCAACAAGAGCATAGTGTCGGGTCTGCCGCCCACCGTATCGGACGTCCACACAATCAATGGCCACCCAGGCCCTGTTCATGGCTGCGCTACTAATGGTACCCAAATGGACAAAAACACAAAAATCATCAAAAGATCATAACTTTGGAACATGATATGAATTTGGGGAGATGGGTTTCGAGTTTTGAACTCAACGAAATAACTGGGAATGTCTTTTGATGAATGTGCAGGAGGCTTCACATTACACGTTGAAAGTGGAAAGACTTACCTTCTCCGAATCATAAACGCAGCACTCAACGAAGATTTCTTCTTCAAAATCGCAGGCCATCGTTTCTCCATTGTTGAAGTCGATGCTTCTTACACTAGGCCTTTCGAAACCGAAACCATTTTCATAAGCCCTGGCCAAACCACAAACGCCCTTCTTACAGCCGACAAACCTGTCGGGAAATACTTAATTACAGCCTCCCCTTTTATGGATGCCCCTGTTCCTATAGATAACTTAACTGCAACAGCCTTTCTTCGATACAAAGGAACTCCCAAGAATCCCACCATCGTATTAACACAAGTTCCTGCTCAAAATTCAACCCTTTTAACAGATCGGTTCATTGATTCTCTACGAAGCCTCAATTCAGAGGAATACCCAGCAAAAGTCCCTCTGTTCATCGATCATACTCTGTTTTTCACCATTGGAGTTGGGATCAATCCTTGTGAGACTTGTGTCAATGGAGTTAGAATCGTGGCGGCAGTTAATAATGTAACGTTTTTGATGCCCGAAATTGCTCTTCTTCAATCGCATTACTACAAGATTCGAGGGGTTTTTACAGAAGATTTTCCGGGGAATCCACCGTTTGTTTTCGATTATACTGGGAAACCACCTGCAAATATTCAGACAACAAATGGAACAAAGGTTTATAGGCTGCGTTATAACTCGAATGTTCAATTGGTGATTCAAGACACTGCTGTGATTGCCCCTGAAAGTCATCCTATACATTTACACGGCTTCAATGTGTTCGTGGTCGGAAAAGGATCGGGAAATTTCGACCCGATTGAGGATCCGAAAGGCTTTAATCTGGTTGACCCAGTTGAGAGGAACACTTTCGGAGTGCCAAATGGGGGCTGGACGGCGATAAGATTCAGAGCAGATAACCCAGGTGAACAGATATCTATTTCCCCTTAATTCTTCTTCTTCTTCTTCTTTTTGGCTCTAAATTCGTTTTTTGTTTCATGATGTGGGCAGGGGTTTGGTTCTTGCATTGCCATTTGGAAGTACATACGACATGGGGATTAAAAATGGCGTTTTTAGTGGAAAATGGGGAAGGCCCCAATGAGTCTTTGCCGCCGCCGCCCCGTGATCTTCCTCGATGTTAGGATTCCCCTGTTTTCAAAAAGCTTATAAAAATCAGAGCTTAGAAACTGGTGAAGCCTGGAGGGGAGGGAATTGTGGAGTTTAAAAGAACAAACAAACGGATCCGGAGAGAGAGACAGAGAGTGAGTGAACAGATCTGTGATTGTGTTGTGTGAGAAAATCAAAATAAGGATTCATATGCACCAAGTGAAGATTCAAGAATAAGCAATGGAGTCCTTTGTTTGATGAAGCTGGGATGATCTATGAACATTGAAGATCTTGTATTCTGTCCTTTTTTTTTTTTAAGTTCAAACGAATTTCCAAGAAAATGGATGGATTTTGCTGCTTCTAATTACAAACCGTATCCTAAACACACTGTATATGAACACGTACGTTTTTAACCTAAAAAACGACCAAGACATACTAATAAGAGTAACCCAACACAGTAAGAAAACAGAGGGCATTGACGGAAAGAAAACATGAACTCCATATACTACGGCAGGAAAACTATAGACATATCACCCCCCAAGACACAACGAACTCATCAACCTCTTTTGGTGAAGAGCAACGCTAATTGTAACTCGAAATACAAAAGCTATATATCTACACATTAGCAGACGGCAACAAAAGCGACCAAGTTCTGCAAAGAAGAAATGAATGTATGAAGATAAACTTTCTATCAGCCAGACTTCCTTCCCTCGGAATGAGATGGGGAAAGCTCATGCAAACAAGAGCTCTCTGAGTCACTGCTGTCATCTGGATGGCCATTCAAATCGTCGACATCACTTGCGGATTTCCCTGAAAGTGACACAATGCCCAGTGAAGCAATGCTGTTTGCAATTGCGTCGATGTCTCGAGCATTACTGTACAGACCACGGCTTCCAGTTAAAAATAAACTTTGATTTGCTTGTGTATCTGTTAGAACAACAGGGAGTACGTTCATCAATTGAGGGTTGCCCTGGCTTGAACCACTGATGAGCAGACGCAGTGTCTCTCTAGGATCCTTTTCTACATTATTAGCAGGTATCATTGGATTCACGAGTGTAGGATGCAGTGGCGGAATGGAGGCCGAAATTGTAGGGCCTGCACTCACAAGGTAGCCTTGACCCGAGGAGCAAACATCAATTACAGGAACATGAACAATTGGATCGCAGAACAAAGGAGTGAAGGTCGGGATCTGCTGAGAGGTTTTCAAAGGCAGACGGACTAGTGGCTCTGGAAATAGAGAAGGGAAATCCACTAACGGATAATCAACTAGATTTAAAGGTGATATTGGAACCGACAAATTTGAAGGTGTAGAAACTGGTAACAGCGAAGGAAATGGTGGAAGGGAAGATGCACTGATGGATGGGATGGGGAGTTGAGAAGGTTCTTCCCTTTGCTGCAGAATTGATGGTGCACCAGGAGGACACCAGCAGTAGTAAGGAGTTAAGAGAGGTGAAACAACACAAGGAACATGAGATGAAACTTCAGGAGTTGGGGCAGCTAATTTTCCCAATGATTCCAAAAAACTCGATGCAGATAATGGGCTACTTGAATCAGCAGTTTGATTTATAGAATTAACACAAAATGCATCAGTGGAAATCGATGGAGCAACAATACGGTTATCTAAAGCCAAACTGTCTCCACGCCTCCTGAATTTTTCCCTAGCAGCATCTCTCAGAGAAAACAACGTCTTAGGAAGGCCTTCTTTAAAGGAATTCAACCTGGGGCTAAGACTACCCTGGAGTACAGAATTTGATTTAACTGCTGAACTACCAGAATTTCTTGACCGCACAGATTTGGATGATGCACACGATTGTCCAAAATAAGATGAATAGGATAGTTCTCTTGTGGAGTCTAATGAAGAGAACAAATCAGCAGAACTTACTGGATGTTGGTTAGGAACAGTTGACTCCATAAGATAGGCACGAAGGCATGTTGCAAAGCAACCAAGGCGCAATTCACTGATTCCAGTTAATTCAGCAATAGAGGGTCTTCTCTGCAGTAAGTCTTTCATCTGTGGTAAAGGAGAAGCGACATAAGGAAATACGCAACAACCACTACACAAAATTGTTTTAAATATATATATCCAGTGGTAACGTCAGGAACCCATAAAATATATAATATCAAGTCATAACTACCACACCACACGAAGATATAATAAATCACATAAAACCTTTACATGTTCCCAGACCAACATGGTCTTCTCATGAATGAACAACAATAGAAAAATTCTATTTTTGTAACTGTAATTCAAACAAAAGAACAACTACTCGTCATTAGACTCAATACGAAAAGTACAAATACCTTCGCAAGTAGTTCAGTTCCCAAGAGCTTTGACTTCTCTGAGCACCAAAAATAGATATTTTGATCATTTGCTTTAATAACAAATGAACGGCCAGAATTATCTGAAGGGATCTCATCAAGTGTAACGAAATCACTTGACAATCTGTTATTCAGAGCGAATAGTCTCTCTACAGACCCATTATCTCCAATGAATGAAAGTCGAAAGTCGGATGATGGTAGGACCATTAGTTTTAAGTTTCCCCTGTGATAATTAGCAAATGAAAGGATCTTTTAGAAGCATAAAAAATAATATAATAATTAACCATCATAATCCTAACACTAGAATCTAGAAAGCAAATAGGTAAAAGAAGATGAGAAGACGACAGAAGTTTGTGGAATACAAAAAGATTCAGATAGTAGCCTTGTATCCTATTTCTATCTCATTAATTTACGGCCAAATCCTCGACAATATTAGTAATTTCCTCACAACCTAGAATCAATTAACCGATTGTAATAACTTCTTCTGGTATACAACTGCATCCTCCATCATCCTTGGAAAATTTCCCATTGAGAACACTATGGCAAATTTCCCATTGAGAACACAAAAAGCAACCGAACACCTAAAAAGATCTGTAGAAAGATACCAACAACACTCTAATATCTCGGACAAGGTTCAAACCTATAAGGTCAAGATATCCATGATTAAATTTTAAATGATGATTGATTCACTTCAAAATCAAAACCTCAACTTCAATGTAACTTTAACAATAAAAACAATCACAGCTTTCTACAAAATTATTTCTTATAGAGTTCAAATGACAATATACCAAGTACAAACATATATCAGCATCCAATTATAAAAAATAGAATTTTTTTCAAGAAAACAAAATCATTACAGTTTCTCATAACAAGCAGTTAGGCTTTCTAACACTCTGATCAATAGAAAAGGATTCGCCATATATTGGAAAAATACAATAAGATAAATGGAATGGAAAAGTAACAAGTTGATCTGAAAAGTGAGGGAATTACAAAAGTTCAGAATTCATATCACTCACTCCAAACAATTTCATTTTAATTAAGCTGCAATCCTACACAACTAAGAAACAGGAGCAAGCTATTATTGGTATAAGAGCATGAAACTACCTTTACTTCCTCATATTTCAGAGATCATAATAGAAAACGGCCACTTTACCTACAAACCAAAAGATATGTTTATTTGGAAGAATGAACATCGTTACCATTAACAGGCTAACATGCGGAGTCCTAAATCTATAAATTATCACTAATTACACGCTTTCAAGTAAAGTTATATGGTTACTTACACCATAAAAGTAAAAGCACTACTGATTAAAACCATTGAACTGACAAATCCTACACACTACAAAAAATAAAGATGATGACTCCGAGTCTTTTAATATTTCAAGATATAATCCAAGAAATGAATTATAAATGGGCATTGCAAATTAGGGTATTCTGACTTATATTCTAGAAAAATGAAATACAATTGACCTTCAAATTAATCAAATGAATTAATGAATTATAATTGACCGTCAGAAAATACAGATAGAAACACATTTCTCAGTTACTTAGGATCAGAGTGTCAAGAAACAAATGATCGAGCAAATAGCTACCTTGTATTCGTAGGGCAAAGGATTGTTCCTTGCTTGTCTATTTTCCCAACGCGAATAGAGACGAGAGGTATACAGAAACACCTCGCTAGAATGCCAACTTCACCCGGCTCGAAATGCTGAGTTACAAAAACAGAGACAGATCTGATCAGCGATTAGGAGCATGAAAGACACAGAACTAGAAACTGCAAAACCTCATAACAAACATCACTACAGCGTGTTGAGGACAGAATCTAAAACGACGGGGGAAGAACACCAAATTGAAGTGATGAAAATAAAATTGAAAGAAAAAACCATTCAATCGTTTTCACTCACGCCAAATACAGATTCCATGCCATCTCCATCGGCACCGGGAGTCCTATGTAAAATCGCACAACGAGCGTGGAATATAAAGCAGTGAATTGTCATCGACAATTAAAAATCCACTACACATTAAAAATTCACATACCGATCAATACATATTTAAACACAAACCTGACTCAATTGAGCAAGAAGGTGATCCTCCGCGATGCCGCTGGACGTAGTCATCTTCAACAACGGCTTCAACCTTTCATCAGCCCGACAAGCACCCATGACTTGCATATCTAGCGCCTGAAGCCACCGAATAACCCAATCTTCCCGATCGCTCTGCTGCAGCAACAGATCGCCATCTCCTTCCTCGACAAGCATATGAGTCAGCCGCTCCGTAAGGTTAATCTCCCTCGTTGAAGCATGCGGACCACCAGAAACCTCAACAACATTCGAAGAAACACCGCCAACTCGAGACGAGTCCTCGAATTCTTCAACGTTATCACGATCGGCGCCTTCGTTAACGTTGCTGGTAATCGAATCTTCTTTTCTAGGGCCCGACATGGAGAAACCTAAAAAACCTCCGTCCAATGAGAATATACAAAACAAAATTCAAGTTTATCGTAGATAGATTCAAAATCCTGAGGTCTTCCTCGCACCGGAATTCGCTTTCAAATCAATCCAAACGCCTCAAACACAACGAAACAAATCGAAAAGAAGATTAAAGAAAACAAACTGAAATCCGAAAGAATTTCGTAATCAGAAAACGAATGAATTGTAAACGAAAACAAAGAAGAGAGAGCATAGACTCTGCAATGACCGACGTATCTAGAAGGTATCAGATAACTGGTGGGTGCGATAGGTAAAACGGACCTGCCTCGAGGACTTCAAGGGTGATATAAAATTAAGAATATAAAGTTAGTTTAAGATCCGCGGAGTGTCGCATAAAGTCCACGTCAGCTGCGCGCCACTAAATTGTTACGGCCGTTCAAAATCCATCCAGCTTTTTTTGGGGGGGCCCACCTGCCACGTCATTTTTTGTTTTTTGGAGATGCCACGAGTGCTGCCGAGGCAACGACAAATTACACCCCGTACGCCAATAATTGAGTTTTCAAATTATTTTAATTTTTTTTTTTCCAAACTTTAAAAGGAAAAGGACGTAGGAAAATATACAAAAGTTGAAGGTATTATTAAACTGAGTCGAAAAGTCTTCGTCCAAAAATGGGATGTGGGTCCCATATCGAATATAATATAAGCAAAAATCAATGAACGGGGTGTAATGAGCCAAACCGTCCTACGCAGCCCGGCCTCCCCTTCCGATAAAGTGGGAACATAAAAAAATAATAATAATTTCATACTACAATATACTTCCATTATTATTGACCTAAGTTTATAATTGTGTATGACTAAAATTACATAATTAATTTTTAAAATCATATTTTTTTTGTTGTGTTAAGGAATATTATCTCCATTCATATAAACTCTTTCGAAAAAACTAAAAACAAAATCACCAGAGTTAATGTTTAAATAAGGCCCAAAGATGATATAGCCCATTAGTAAAGGCCCAGATTCTATTTCAAAAGAAACCTTTGGGCGTTAGCCCAAAGTATCCAGCCCACTAGTGAAGGCCCAAATTCTTTTTGAAAGAAACCTTGGGGTTGGGGCCTTATGATTGCCATCATTTATTTGTTATGTGAAAGATAGGATCAATAGAAATATATATATCTTAACCGATCTTATCTCGTCAATTGACTTTAATGGTCTCATTCTTATCTAGTAATTTATTTGTGGTTGATAATAATAGTAGTAATGATTTTTATATGGTCGTTTAGTTGAAGTTTTTGTTTAGAATATCTTAAAATGATGTTTGAGAATTGTATTTAGTGTCGCATATAAATATCATCGGTAAACAAAAAAAAAAAGAGAAATTGATAAAAATAAAAAACATAATGCTCCCTAAATCAACGGTGATTCCTAATCGAATAAATCAAAAAAAAAATTATGGATAAGAATGGAAACAAATCCTTTAAATAAACTTTAAACATGATTTGATGTCTTAATGTTGTGTTATTGGAATTGGTTGGCCTGTTTACGAGCATATCATATCCTAAACATACAAAAATATGCTTTATTTCTTATTTTGCTACCCATACAACCAAACAAACATTGGATCATACTATTATTTCATAATAATTCATCCACCACCATCATTATTGTTATTATGCTATTTAATTATCAAAATTTTAAATTAAAACATCATTTTGTAATTATTTTTATTTAAAATAAAGTTATTAAATACATTTAAAATTGGGAGAAATAAACATAATTTTTTTTTTTTTTAAATGATGAGAAATTTAGAGCGTAGTGAGTAGGAAAGGGGCAGCAGATGTAGACGTAGAAGGGCAGGCAGGGCAGGGGCAGAGGAGTATTAATTATTAAATTTATGAATTTAGGAAAAGCAAGGAAAAAAAGAAAAAGAAGAAAATAGGATGAGGGGAAAGCGACATGAAACGACAGCGTTGAAGTTGGTAAGGAGCATGGGGAGCAGAGTGGAATTGGCAAACCAAATTACCTAACTACCCTTAATTGCCTTCATTCCCTCATCCCCTAACTACCTAACCCATTCAATTTTGGTTCACTTTTCTTAATTAATTAATTAATTAATTAATTGAACGAAGGAGTTTGGTAAGTTGAAGCCATCAAAAAAGTGGGAATGGGCCCACACCCCCCTAATTCAAAGAACATATCACACAATATATCCCATCTCTCTCTATATATATTATATATATATTTGGAAGAATTTGTACTATTTTTTGTTTTTTTATTTTTATTTTTTTGGCATTGATTTGGTTTGTCAACCTTCAAACCACGATGCTGCTACATCAAAACGACACTAATAGAGTAGGTGCCATGAATGGGCTTTTACCATTTTTAAAAAATAAATCTATAAATATTTTCTCCTTTTCTTTATATATATATATTATTGCTACCAACTAAGCTAGACCTAACTATTGAGGGAGTGGTCTAATAATTTAATGGAACATGATGTATCTACGTTTATTCCATTCATTCTCCTGTGACATGATCACATTACTTATTCATGGATTTCTGCATTTTAAGAGTAAAGATTATCCATATGAGTCTTTTAATCTATTTTGTCTTCACTCGTATGCTTCTTATGAAAATTTCAATGATATCATCCAACCTACAATTTCTCAAAATAAAGCATGTTTAACTTTGGAACAATCCAAAAAATGTACATTTTATTAATATAGATAGTAAATAAGTTTTTCTTAGTTATTCTATTCTTAAATTTGCTTTCATTTAGACGTGGTTCGTGCTGAGGATTATTGTGATGAGTAGCCACACATTGAGTAATTAAGAGGAACATCATCTCCATTGATATGAGACATTTTGAAAAAATCAAAAGTGAAGTCACGAGAGTTTAGGCTCATTTTTCACTTGAGTGTCAAGCCAAATATGTAAATTTAAAAATAAAAAAAAAACACACAAAGTCCAAAATGTCGTGTTTGAATGTCATGGGACAAACATATAACTAGACATCCATAAAAAAAATTTAAAAAAAAAATCATGTCGTATTATTTTGAGGACAAACCAAGAGTAGAGAAAGATATATATACATTTATAATAATAAGAATTAAAAGGTGGTTTGTCTTGTTCTTTTCTTTGTCTCTGTAGAAGATTCATTGCTCTGCTTCCCGTCTTTGAGCTGCCAAACATCAACTCCCATGCCCCTAACTTTATCTTTCTTTATATATATATATATATTATCCATCTTATAAGTTACTATATTTTTTTTAGTCTAAAGTTTCATCCATAAACGACTAGAGAGAGTTGTTAATCTAGATTGATCGGATGCCTACACTATATTAAGGTATTATGAGTCAATAGTCCCACACATTATATTATATAATAAAGATACTCGAAATGTCTCTATATTTATCCATATTTTTATGTTTATCTTATAGTTCATCCAAAACAACTGCTACGTCATTGAAAGAGTCGTGGATTTGAAAAACTTAGACTAAATACATGCATTATAGAAAAAATTCAAATAACTTAGGTCATATTTTTGTTGTAACTGGACTTAATTTATGGTATGCATATATTTATATATTCATATAATATTATTTATTTTAAGTCAAATAAAATTTCTATCAAAATAGCTGGTACTATCCAATAAGTTGTTTTTGAATCGCTCAAATACATGCATTATGTCAATATTTAGTTATCTAAGCGGACACTCATGGTATCTATTTGATCCTAATTAACAAACTAATATATACAATAATACATCTTAATTAATTCTTTAATTTATAAATTCAAATCATTGAATGAACTTAACCATATACCCAATTGAAGTGGGTCACTAGACGTCACATTTTACCAATAATAATAATCTTTTAAATTTAAATCTAATTGTTTTTATCTCGAGATTAGCTTTTAAAAAGTGAATCCTTAACATATTTACGAAGAGCTCTCCAGTAATACAGCCACCAATCATTAAAAGAATCAACTAGGTTTAATTTATATCAATTCCTCGACTCCAACTATCTTATAGTACATTTACAACCCCATCCAATGTGCCTTATTCTCTAAGTCAAAACCCACATTAAAAACTATATATTATATTCCCCAACACATGTCTTTTTTATAGTCTAAATTAATACACATTGGCCGCCATTACAGGGATTAATATCATTCATATAATCAACCGACCATTTTATACACACTCCATTGATCATCTCCAACATCACCCATTATATATATATTAATCAGAATTAGCAAAATTGCTACTTGACCGATTGTTTAATTATTTAGAGCCGCCCCTCATCTGGGGATTTGGAGAGTGACAGCCAGCTTACAGAGGAGTATTAGTCGGCGGCACTTGTTAATTCTTGCATGCCAAAACTATATAATAATAATCATCATTAATTTAATTAAAACTATACTATAAAATTATTATAAGATTTGATTATATTAGAGAGATTTTAGTGTAAAGTCCAAGGTTGGGTTTATTGAGAGAGATACTCTCTGAGATTTGAAAATCTTTTTAGTATCCAAAATTTCTAACCCAATAATAAAAAAGATAAATAAATAAATATATGACAATGAAATCAGATATTTGAGTAAACTAAATAAATAAATAAAACCGCAAGTTCATGAACCAAAAACCCGTCCGTATTTTCCCCTTCGGCTATAAATACTCATCTCCGCCGCTCATTTCTCTACGCACTTCATATTCTCTCGTAAGAAAAAATTAAGAAGGGAAAAATGCCAATCCCAGCTCCTTCTTCGCCAATTCTTCTCTCCAAATGTGTTGTGTTCCCCGATCAACCCTCCGCCGTGCCGGACCTGAAACTCTCCGTCTCCGATCTCCCTATGCTCTCATGTCACTACATCCAGAAAGGCTGCCTCTTCACTTCCCCTAATCTCGACGATATTTCCGTTCTCGATCTTCTCAAACGCGGTCTGGCAAGAACGCTCTCGCGTTTTCCGCCGCTCGCTGGCCGTTTGGTAACCGATCACGACGGTTACGTCTACATCGAATGTAACGACGCAGGCGTGGATTTCATCCACGCCAATGCCGGTGAGATTTTCGTTCGTGACCTTCTCGTTCCTGGCTATGTTCATGATTGCTTCAAGGAGTTTTTCGCTTTCGATCGAACGGTCAGTTTCTCCGGCCATTTTAACCCAATCATGGCCGTCCAGATCACCTTCCTAGCTGACGGCATTTTCATTGGCTGCTCCGTTAACCACGCCGTCACTGACGGCACCTCCTTTTGGAACTTCTTCAACACCTTCGCCGAGGAATGTAAAGCCGCTAAATCGACAACGACGGTGAAAAGAATCGGCATCACTCCTTCGCCGAACTTCCGCCGCGATTCCGTTCTGGTATCTCCGGTCGTCCTCCGTCTTCCGGCAAGTGGCCCTAAAGTCACGTTCTCCGGCGACGTACCGTTACGCGAGAGAATATTCACTTTCAGTAGAGAGGCAATTTTGAAACTCAAAGCTAAGACGAACCAAAAGAAATTAATCGATAACGGAGATTTAACGGTAACGGCGGTGGAGATAATGGGGAAGCAAAGTAATGATAAGTACTGTGAGATTAACGGAAAAGTGGGGTCCATTTTCGAGAGCATGTACAAAAACGACACCGTTGCGAACCAACACGCAAATTGCGAGGCGATCACAGTCACAACAATATCGTCGTTTCAGTCTCTGTGCGCCTTATTATGGAGGTCAGTAACGCGAGCGAGAAAGCTCCCGCCGAATAAAATGACGACGTTTCGTATGGCGGTGAATTGCCGGCACCGGCTGGAGCCGAAGTTGGATCCGTACTATTTTGGCAACGCGATTCAGAGCGTTCCAACGTACGCCACCGCCGGAAACGTTCTTTCTCGGGATCTGCGGTGGTGCGCAGAGAAGTTGAATGAGAACGTGATGGCGCACGATAACGGAATGGTGCGGCGGTTCGTAGAGGATTGGGAAGGAAATCCGAGGCTGTTTCCGTTAGGGAACGCCGACGGGGCGTCAGTTACGATGGGTAGTTCGCCGAGATTTCCGATGTACGAGAACGATTTCGGGTGGGGACGGCCGTTGGCGGTGAGGAGTGGGCGGGCGAATAAGTTCGACGGTAAAATATCGGCGTTTCCGAACAGAGAGGGTGGTGGAAGTGTTGATTTGGAGGTGGTTTTGGCGCCGGAAACAATGGCGGGAATTGAGTCTGATTGGGAATTCATGCAATACGTATCGTCGAAGTAGAAGGTAAAATTAATTAAATTTCGGACCCCATGGCTACATGGAAGTGTAGATGTGAAGTTAGTTTCATGTGAAATATTGAAATCTAATCTGGAAGACTGTTCTTGTTCAATTGTGATCATCAATTCAGTTTTTTGAAATAAAATGTTAGTCGAGAATCTTACCATGAAAAAATAAAATGATTAACGATATATAATATATTGTAATGTCACATATTGGTGGGAGAAGAGAACAAAACAGAGTCGGAAAACCTTCCCTCCTTACAACAAGGGTCTGTAAACCACTAGCGCGTTTTAAAGTTTCGAGTGAAGCCTGTAAAGAAAATCACAAAAAGATAATATCTGCTTAGCAATGAATCGGGTTAAATATATATATATTCAAAATCTTACCGTAAAATAACATTATTTTTATTTATCTTTAATTATGTTTATAATGAGACACAGTTTAAATTTAATATTACCAAACATTATGATGCTTCTTTCGCGGAGCTTATACATGCCCACTTCTTTTTTTATAATAAAATTAATCTTTATACGTCAACTGTATTGTCTTATTTATTTAATTTAAATGTCTTTTTTTAAAATACATTAATCAATATTTCAACCCTATTAAACCTTTTTTTTTTTAATTATTATTCTTAATTTTTGCAGAAAGTGACCCGACATAAATTTTTAAAGACATTATCCATGAAAATTTGGTAAATGTTATACGTTAAAATATTATTTTGGTCGTTGTACATTAATACTTTCGATAAATTTTAAAATAAGATAATTTGAGATTAAATTTTATTAAAATTGATTCAATACTAATACTAATTTTATTATAAAGTATTTATTAATTTTAGAATAAAAAATCCCTAAAAAAATAGAAAAAAGAAAACGTATTCAAACAAATCCATTTCTATTTGGGCTCACGGCCCATTTTAAAGTAGGCCTAATCCATAAACAATGCAGCCCAGAGGCCTTTTTGAATTGGGTACCGCTTCCGTTTCCAGTTCGGATATTGGTGGACCATGGAAAGTTCTTGGTAGCGTAGTGAAGCAAACGACGTCGTTTGTTCGATTCTGCACGATTTTGTCGTCTTTGCATTGATTCATTGGGCGGGGGTTCGGATCCAGGGGATCTCCTTGGAATCAGTGAGGAGTTAATTATTGATGCTGGAGGATAGGAAATCCAGTTCAGACTGGCTGTTCGAATCGGAATTTCATTATTTTCATAACTCAGCCTCAGGTAATTTCATTCCGTCTTCCTTTTTACCATTTGATTCTCTTGTTAATTGCATTTAGTGATCGTTTGAAATTGATTGTAGAAGCACGAACAAATTGCAATTCATACGAAACATCAATTTCAACCTAAATCATCGGATTCTCTTAGTTGAGGTTAATGTATGTAAAAACAAAATTGTTTCCTGGAAATAAATTTCAGAGAAATGTTCGTGATTTTGCTGGTGTTTTGGTTGTAATGGTTCGTGATTTACGCTTTAATTTCCAGGTTCTATGATACGTATAATCAATTAGAGGATGTTGGATTATCTATTAGTTTGGGAAGTGTTTTGACTGATGTGAAAATGGTATTAGTTGATCAAGAACGTTGGCTTTCTTGACTCTGCATTTTGAAATGCATACTGTGGAAGAGAGACAATAAAGATGGATTCAGTTTACTGAACAGAAGATGAGGAGGAGCTTCATTTTAGTTAAGAAACCAATTTCCATTGCTTTTATGGTTCTATCTCTCTGTAGCATACTTATTGTACTGATCACAACACTCAGGCTTCCAGAGCTAACTGTAGGAGTAAAGGCAGTCAATCACCAAACTTCAATTATTAGAATGGTTCCTAAAGATAAGAAGTTCGGCAAGTTTGGGGAAATGATGACCGAAATTATATTGGAGAGAGGAATGAAGCATTCCTTATAAGGGTGTGGGAAACCTCCCCTTAGTAAATCCGTTTTAAAACCTTGAGGGGAAGCTAAAAAAAGAAAGCCCAAAGAAGATAATATCTGCTAGCGGTGGGCTTGGGCTATTACACTGGACAACTGAGAATTTGAACGACACATATGCAGTGCTTTCACGTATATTAGGTTTCTCTGCTGCTCCTCGAACTATTTATTTGACTTCTGTTGAGTACATTTCTAAGGACAGAGATGGTATGCTGATTGTTAACCTTGTGAGGTCTGAAATGGTGGATATAAAGGAGGAGGAGGAGGAGGTTGTTGTGCATATAATGGATGGTGTTGTAATGGATGCTGGGTTTGAGCCGTCAGTAAAACGTTCTTGTTACACTGTGTATAGCAAAACTATATCCTTTTCCATTTGGCTCTGCTGTAGAAATAGAATGGCATCCCAAACTCATCTCTGTTCCATTGACTCAACCCACAAGTCAATTTCATCTTGATGTCATTGAGTTTTATATGTTCTCTTTTGATCTCAAGTTTCCTTCTAGATTTCTGCTTATTCTCCCAGCTGTAAACACACTCCTTCTACCTTTTAGTTGAGAATGTTTTCAATGGTTTTAAGGCTTATATGATAAATGTTAGATCATCAGTGCACATAGAAGTGTAATATCGTATATTTTCCTAGCAATCCTTTTGCATGTAGAATAGAAGGATGGAAATTTTAGTGAGAATTGGAAAGGAAGATGTTGTAATTGTGAGATCTCACGATCTCACCTTGGTTGGGGAGGAGAACGAAACACTCTTTATAAGGATGTGGAAACCTTTCCCTACAGACACGTTTTAAAGACTTGTGAGGAATCTCCAAAGGAAAAACCTAAAGAGACCAATATTTGTTAGCGGTGAACTTAGGCCGTTACAGTAATGATGAGGTTTAATTACTGCTAGAAAAAGATCAACCATATGGTTGAGCTAACCAATAAGATAAGCTTAACTCTCTTTCTTAGTAAACTTGAAAACTATGTGAGCCTGAGGCAATATTGAAATGGGGAATGACTTGAATTGAATTGAATTGAATAACAAGGGAAGCAAAACCAAGGAATGACCAAAATAGCTTTTATAATTCCCTTTTTATGAATTCCGAAGCATTGAATCCACACATTGGTTTCTCGTGATAAAAGCCCGTTTGAATTTCCCAATTTCCAACATTCACTGATTAACAATAAATCCAACGCCACTCTCATTCATCATCTACGTGTTTCGAGCATGCACTTGAGAATGTCCAAACCCTTTTCCATTTCCCATAAAAAAGGAAAAATTCAAACTAATTAAAATCCTAAGCAGCTGCTACACAACAGTCTTACCATATTTTTTTCAACAGCCATCGATTTTTACAGAAAGCTTAAACGAAGATCCAATGGCGGATGTTCCATTTTGGTCCCTATTTTGTAGGTGAAAGCTGTTGCCTCCTCGTACTGTTTCCCATTTACTCTGAACTGATGATCATTATCTCCTTCTGTTTCGCCAATGGAGTTTAATGGAAAAAGTTGAAGCGTTTTCATCATTCTTTCTGGCTCCAACTCCATTGTACCACCCTTATTTGTTGTGGACTGATCATCTGCAAAATCTGCACAAACCCAGAACAAAAAACAGTGCCTTCAATCAAAAACACTCCAACTTTGACATAAACTCATAACGACATGATACTTATCTAGAGGAAGAACAATTAGAAACTTCATGACCTATTCGCCATTTCTTAACAAACATGATACTCAATGAGTAGCTACAAAATAAAGTTGGAAACTTATTCAAAATCTCTGTCTTCTGATATAGTCTTTTTTGTTGTTATGTCAGACTCTGATTGACAAAAAATTGGAAACTTTTGTGTTATTTTAGAGACAGAAATTGATAAAAGGAAATGAGAAACAAGGAACATACAGTTAGAACAAGGTGGAAGAATGAAGTGTTGTTGTTGTTGATGATGATGATGATGATGAGTGTGATCAAGAGAAATAGATACTTTGCGACGTTTTTGTCTTTCACGAGCTTTATGATTCTGAAACCAGTAGAATACATTTTTGCTCTCGATCTTGCCGTAAAAGCTGAGCTGATGAGATATTTTCTGAATCTGATCGCTACTCGGAGTTCTAAGCCCTGACCTGAACAACTCTGTCAGCACTTTTACTTGCTCGGCAGTTGGATTCCATCTCCCACATTTACTGCTCATACTCCCTTTTCCGGCCACTCCACCACCGTCTCCGCCGCCTCCTGCCGGTTTTACATAAAATCTTGAAGAAATCCCTTCGTCCATATTCATATTATTCTTCATTCAACACTGCGTGTGTTCTGATCTGTTAACAGAGATGATCAACTGAAACTTCTTCGCTCAGATGGAAAGCTTGTGCAAGTCAGAAAAGTACACCCTGCTCCATATATATATATAGAATATTTATATGCACACTAGTTAGTGAAAGTTCAAGGAAAAATCCCATATTCCAATAGCTTTTTTACTAATTATTTGCAATTCACGTTAGCAGTGTCAAAGAATGAGCAGCATGAAACATTAATTGGAACAAATTTTTAGTAATTTTGTATTATCTAACAATAGTGGACTCCATGTTATTTTTTAATTATAAATATCGGTTATCAGCATAAATGTCAATGGTTCGATCCCTTACCTTCATAGAAGTATCATACTAACATTATATGGGAAATGTTCCCTCGCCAACATATCTCTAACTTACTTTCTCGAAAGATTAAGTAGATCAAGAAAATCAACAGAAGTTAGGCAAACATAGGATTAGGGGTTCGTTCTTATATTATAATATTTTAAAGAAAACTCATTTTGAGTTCATAATGGTTACAGTACATACATACAGTATAAAGAAAGCAGAAAAGAGGGCTCCTTTTTGTTCAGTCCTAGGAGGCTATATATATATATATATATATATGTGTATATATCTATGTTGAGATGATGGAAATAACTTATGTGATGATAATGTTTTCTTTGATTTTAGGGAAAGAAAAGATTGGATAGAAGTTGAAGAGTGATTTGTTGTTAAAGAAATTGAGCCTGGTTTTTTGTGCAGAGAGAAAGGAAAACTAGGAATATGGAGGGACATGCGCAAAAGCTGCCACTGGCGAACATCTTCGGTCGCCGAGCAGACAAAGATGCAAGTTTCATTGATTCTCAAATATAATATATTCAGGTTCTGTGTCTCATGGATCAATGTTCTATTTTTCACATATTTGAATGCATTTTTGTTTTATATGGGTTTCGTGTTTCTCAGTAAAGCATGCACTTACCTATGTCCAAAATTAAAAAAAAAAAAAAAAAATCACATTTTAATAATATCTTAACAATAACTATTTAGTTTTATTCTTCGTTAAAAACATGGTAGAAACATTAATAGCTTCTTTTTAGGAATGGTAGGGGTATGAAGCAAGTTCGACAACTTGAATTTAAGGAAAGATTTGAAAGGGTAGAGGATTGAGGAAATGTGTAAAGAATAGTCAAAGTTTAGGGATATTGTGTGAATGTGCGTTGGAGGGTTGTGATTAAAAGAGAGTGAGAGAGAAATACTAAGTTGACCAAAGGGATTAAAATTGGACTTTACTTTGTCTGAGGAGCCCCTCGTCTTATTAACTCCAACGACACTTAGCTCTACAAACTTCAAATTTGAAAATGAAAAGGAAACAAAAAGAATGAAGAGAAAGTGGATTCCAGGATGTGACCACACCACTTTCCTAAAACTCCCATTAAATGCCCCTATCTTCTACTTCTTGTCTACACTACACCATACAAAACCCAACAATTTTTTTTTTTTTTTTTTTTAGGGAAATAAAAAACAATTAGTGATTGAGTGGAGAGTGAAGAAGAAGTCATTATTTAAGAAACATGTTATTGTAATTTAAGGAGCAAAAAAAGAAAGTGCAATAAACCCACTATTTATTTCCAGTTTCCTTTAAGGACCATCGCAATCAACCAATCATCAATATCCACGTGTCCACCAACTTTGATGCAACTTATACTATAACATTCATGACAAGTACATAACTAATTACTATCGTAGTTTAAATTACATAACTAATTTCTCTGAGGTTTTATCCGCTGAAATATAAAAAGTAATTAATGGAAGCTGAAAATCGACTAATAGCTTATTGATTTATAATCTAATATCAAGGAACGCTTGTTAAATACAAAAATAACTCACGTGAATCAATGAAAATAAGAATAATAATACAAAAACAATCCATATTTTATTATATACATAATTTCAAAAGGGCTAGAAATGATAAGAATCAAAACCAAACAAAAGACAGTTCTATCCCTTACTGCTTTGTTTCTACCCCTGCCCAAACATGAAGAGAACTCATCTTCTAACCAAAGAGAACTTGAAAACAGAAAGTAAATCATATTGTTACCTTTCAACGAACAATAATATCTGGAGGTAAAAGATGAGAAAGACAGATTTATGGCGACAAAGTATCGAGTATGGGGGGAAAATTGGGTGCCTGGACAATATTCTCTTGATTCTAATAATGGTAGTACAACCCTCATTGTTAAACTAGGCAACATACTCCACAAAGCAGGCAGCAGTATAAGATGACTGACAGTGAACTCAATCAATCAAAAGGGGGTTTTCAAGAGGGAAGGGGGATCGTTTTGCAGCAGAATTAAGTACACAAATTCTTGGATATTGGTCAATTACCAAATAAATGACACACAAAATCGTCGATGCAGGTTGAAGAAGTTACAGAATCTGAGCAGCCGTGTTCAACTTTTCAGCCAAGCTCAGTTGTGTCCTGGTGATACTTGACAAATACAGCAACAGCAAATGGTCCTGTGGGAAGCAGTGAAAATGGAGACAGGATAGTAAAACGGTTAGATGATTTCCATGTATAAAAGTTAACCTTATTATGGAGACAGGATAGTAAAACGGTTAGATGATTTCCATGTATAAAAGTTAACCTTATTAAACCATTTACAAGACGCCAAGCTCAAACAATTTAATTCTTAACCAGCATACCAGATTTTATTTGGTAGGGGATCAAGATAGGTAAAGTATGATAAAATAATCTAACCTGCACGTTGTCATTCATCAGTTTATCAAAAGCAGATGGCGACAGTTTTGGAAGAGAGGCTACAGTCTCAGCAAGAAATCTCCCAATCGTGTTGTCTGGCTCAACATGTCCTTCCTGAGAGAGTAGTAACATAAGCAAACTAATATGATATATAGCAAAAGAGAAGACCCAAACGTCACTCACCACAACATTATCAACATATTTGTAAATATCATCAATTAAGGCGAGCAATCTCTCCATTGAAGCTTCCATTCCTTCCAAATCATTTGGCAGTTTATCAATAGAAGTTGTCTTCAGTATATCAACTGTCATTACAAATTTAGCATTAGAACAGGGGCTTTGCCAGAATATACAAAAATCCCTTGAAGCAAGTTTCCGAAGGGAATGGACAGGATTAGGAAACAACCACAATCGAACTATTTCAGAAAATAATTAAGACGTATTCACCATAGCAGTACATTAATTATTGGTACAGGGTTTAAGGAAAAAAAAATGTCACAAGCTATGTTCATATTTGGACAAAAATCAGGAAAGCTACAAAAGTAGAGATGCTAAAATACGTATCATACCCAGATACGTTATTCTAACATAAGCCGGGGATATTCAAAAAGTCTAGGATCAAATATTTCCTACAGTTGTTTCAATAATGCAACATACTCGCCTAAAACTTCAAGTATGCATTTAGGTTAATAAAAAAATGGTGTGCCAATAAGTGTCTAGGATATAGTGACAGCAGCTTCAACATTTCAATAGCAAGAGTAAAACAAGAGAAATGATTAAATTCTTACATCCAAGTCTCTCAGCTTCAACCATTCGAAGATCTAAAGGAATTTCTTGAAACTGAGCAGCAAGTTGTCTATCACCCAGAGACAAATTGACAGAGATGTAGGCTTTTATTGTGCCTTCTCCATTTTTAAATCCAGTATCAACAGTCAGGTGAATAGGGTTTGAAACTTCTCTAGAATAAAATTCGTGTATCAATGCACTGCCACCCGTAACTCCCATACCAGTTGAGTACCTGTCCGTCACGGTGGATAACACATTATAAGAATATGTGTCTATCATACATGCCATTGGAGAATATTTCATATCACAAAAACTTTAGATGAACTATGCATCAACATTACAAGCAAATAATGAATTTCAAGTTGTCGACCAGGAGTAATCTTTCAATTGGTATGGTATCGAGCGAGCAAAAGTTACAGACCAAATTCTTTCTTATAAGAAACCAAATTCTTTCTAATAAGAAACCAATTTCATAGGGGAAAGTAAGAAATCTATAGAGGCCAATGTTTAAAACCAAAGGAGCAACAGACGAGTAACAAAAACAGACCGTGTTAGTGAACTAAAGCACTTTAACTATAGTTGATAAAGCTGAAATTGGAAGGATAGTTTCTGGGTTGAATATCGTCTAAAACTCCTTTTTTCCTTGTAAGCCTCTTACTTGAAGTCATTTTTGTCACTCTGCAATTTTCTGCTCCTCTATTATCTTAATGATATCCAGATTTTTATCCAAAAAAGAAAGGCACTTTTACCATTACTGATATACATAGTAAAGAAGGATCAATGGCTTTACCATCCAACGATAACTTCCTTTGGATTAACTTTTTGGTGGGAACTTAACATATTGTGATGATAATCAATATCCAGCGCAACCTGTTATGATATAAGGAATGAAGAGAAGATATGAAAGAGTGAATATGCGAATTTATTGCAAAATGGTAGAACAAACAATAACCATCACTAGAAAGTCTCACAAATTATAACATTAAAATTCAATGAAACAAAAAGACGTATAAAATTCTTAAAGCCCATCCGCAACGATATTTCTAAATGTTCACAATTCGCTCGTACAAGTAATTCTACAATGAGTAAAACGTACTCGAAGAATCCAAATTGGAAAAAGAAAACGGCAGAACGAAGGCAGGGAACCTTAATTCTCCAAACGGAAGAGTGTACGAGATCAATTCGTCAAGGAAAACATAAAGAAACTAGGATTTTAATTATTACTCAAAACGCGATAAGAACACAAAAAATAAATAACTTCTCAAACAATCACATCGACGAAACACTAGAAACGAGTTCAATGCAGAGTAAGGAAAACCTGATCGGAGAACTCATTATGAGGAACAGCATAAGAGTTGCGAATATCAACGGTTCCATCAGGTAAAACAGAGCCAAGAAGTGTGCCGATCACTCGATCCGCCTGGTCGGGGCGCCTCACATAGCAATCACAAATGTTGAAGATAACCAGAGGATGAACCTTGGCAGACAAAGAGTTAGAAGACTGTGAAAATTGCAAAACCGTGCTCTCAGTCGTCGCCATTGGCCTGAAGTTCGAATTAACCTAGCTCCGTAAAAATGGATGCCCGAGAGAGACGAGGAACGAGCGCAGAAGCGGAACTAGGGTTTCAGATTACGCTCCAAATTTTGGAAGAGGACATTGGGCCCATTTTATCATATTTATATTAAAATTAATTTTTCAAATAAATTAAAGGATTTCATAATATAATTAAAGGAAATTTTAAATTCTCTGATAATTGAAATGAAAAAGGCCTTTTGTGTTCCAAAATTCTAATATTTTAGATTTAAAATTATTATTGATAATTAATTAATAAACTAATTGCTTTATTAATGTATTATAAAATAATTTTTCATTTATTATGATTTAATTTAATGAGCATGAGAATTTAGTTTAATAAGCTGCGAATTTAATTTAATGAGCGTGAGAATTCGTACAAGATTTTACATTACTTTCTTTAAAAAAAAATTAATTAATTAAAATTGCTGTATTTTTCGTGTGGGTCCAGACCTATATTTGTATGAATAAATTTCAGAACAAAAGTCAACCTTTTTCTGACCCAGTCAACCCGGGTCCTACGGCTTCATTCGGGTCATTCGATCCGACCTGAAGACGCAGTGCATATCTCCGAGGAACGTCTTGGCAGCGTCCAAACTCGGAAAATAGGTGGATTCCAGAAATATCTGACTCAGTTTATCGTCCGAGTTCGAACTCACCACGACTCGGTTCCCCTTCGCCTCTAAGCTTCCAATCACCATAACCAAAACTTGCTTGTAGGCGAAGAAGAACTTCTTTATTGCCGACTCGATCGCTTGCAGCGCTTGAAGAAGATGAATCTTCTCGATGTCTCGCTTTTCACTGTACAATTTCATCGCCGCCTCTTGAA